TGGAAGAAGACTCTAAACCATCCTGACAGCCGCAATGAAGATTAAATCCACATTTAAAGGAAGTTGTCTGAGCTAAAGTGCTTAAATTATAAGATGCTGATATTATTTATCTTATATCTAATAGTAAATGGGTCATCAGTCGTTGGTTGGTGTATGTGTATTGAGTATTCGAAGTTAAATTCTTTTACCAGAAAAGACCATTTTCCTATACCTCTCTTAAGCACGTTTAGAAAGATTAGCTAGACATGCATATTATTATTTTTTGGATGGGTACTCCGGCAATAACCAAATTAAAATAGAAATTGATGACCAGAATAAAAACCACTTTTACATGCCCTTTTGGCACTTTTGCTTATAAAAGAATGGCATTTTGGTTGTGTAATGCTCCAGCTACTTTTCAGCGTTGTATGTTGAGCATTTTTAGTGACATGGTGAAGTGATTCTTGGAAGTTTCATGGATGATTTTTTTTGTATATGGTGATTCGTTTGAGTTATGTTTAGAAAATCTTGAAAATTCCTTACTTGGTGTGAGGAAATGAACCTTGTTTTGAATTGGAAAAAATCTTATTTCATGGTCACGTTAAGGAATTTTTTTAGGACATGTTGTTTCTAGAGAGGAAATTGAAGCTGATAAGTCAAAGATTGATTTAATAGCCAATCTCCCTCCACCTAAGACTATAAAAGATGTTCAATCCTTTCTAGGTCATGCAGGATTCTATAGAAGATTTATCAAAGATTTTAGTTTGATATCCAAACCAGTGTGTAATCTTCTATGTCAGAATGTACCATTTGATTGCAATGATACATGGCAATTAGTATTTGATAAACTTAAAAGCATGCTCATTTCCGCACCAATTATGCAACCTTCTGATTGATCCTTCCCTTTTGAATTAATGTGTGATACTAATGATTATGTTGTAGGAGCTGTCTTAGGCCAAAAAAAAGATAAGCGAGCTTATGTGATTTACCACACAATCTAAACTCTAAATTATGCACAAATGAACTATTCTACTATAAAGGCATCATATTTAGTCAGATCGTTAATTGTTGTGTTTACTAATTATGAAGCCTTTAAATATCTGCTTACAAGGAAAGATGATAAGCCACGTCTCCTCCAATAGATATTGTTGCTTTAAGAATTTAATCTCATTATCAAAGATAAGAAAGAAGTTGAAAATGGGGAAGCTGATCATTTAACAAGGGTAAATTATGATCCTAAAGAGGAGTCAATACCGATTAAGGAAAGCTTCCTTGATGAGCAATTATTTGCAATAACAGAAGTACTATGGTATGCAGACATAGCTAATTATTTGGCCACAAGTATCATTCCTTTTCATTATACTTGGACTGATAAGCAAAATTTTTTAAGAGAGGTACGCAATTATGTACCCAATCATGAAATAAGTAAAGTTATTTCCTTTTGCCATTTTGAAGCTTTTGGTGGGCATTTCTCTTAAAAGAAAATCACTGTAAAAATTTTATAGTGTGGATTTTACTGGCCCACTCTTTTTAAAGATGTACATGTTTTTTGTCTAAATTGTGACCAATGTCTAATGATGGGGAATATTTCAAAAAGAAATATGATGCCTTTATGTGACGCCCCAAAAATCGAGGGTCCATAATTTAAAAAAAATTCGAGCAAAATCTCCTTTGTATGGGGAGCTCTACCCAAAACACAACCTGTGTAATTATAGTACAATGACCACACTGGGTCCATTTATGAATAAACATTGATTACACCAGATCCATTTATGAATAAACATTGACTACACCGGATCCATTTACAAGTAAACATTGACCACATCGGGTCCATTTATCCATACTCATACAACCACATGCAATATTTTTTTTTTTACATTAAAACAGTCCATATGAGTTCGATTACAATTCTTTTATATTTACATGCCAAAATTAAGTTTTAACAAAAGTTAACAAAAATACAAAATAAAGCCACATTCTGGCTTTCTTCATCCTTCAGGTCCCGTATAAGGGCCTTCTACCGGTGTATAGCCCACACCTTAAATGTTTTCCCAAAAATGGTGAGTCACGCTCAATAGGGTATCTCCTAAAGAGGTTACTCCCCAACTTAGATGCATATGAAATGTTCACATGCGACAATCAACCATTCAAACATTCTAATCTAGAATATGCATTCAATGATAAAAATCCTATGTCATGCCTTGAAATGAGATGAGACTCACTCATGCACTTCAACCCGAGCCCTCTCTGACTCATTCAACACAATGCAATGTCAATATGTATAAATCAGTCATTGATGATATACATCCAATTATTTTTTTAAAACAAAATTATGTGTCTTTGTTGGATGTTACACATCGAATGACTATTTTATAAAACAAATACATTTGTTTGGAATTTCACCTCAAAGGAGTGTATGAACCAGGTATTTTAAAAAACAGAATCATGTGTCTTTGTTGGGTAGCAGAGTTTTGGTATCGCACCACTAATTCCGCACATCAATACACTTTTCCAGAATTTCACCTCAGGGAAGTGTATGAACTAAGTAGTTGGGTCTTGCACCCGAGGGAGAATCTAGCTCTACTTGCTATACCCGACAAAAGTTTTTCATGTAATCGTGCAACTCAGTCAGATCTTTGTTCCAACTTTTTCCAAGCCCACATATCATCCACCAAGAATGGTCTTTGATCAACCATGCACACACACACTCACACTCATGCCTTATGCGTATAAATATGATGCTCCTGTGCAAATACACTGTAATGAACCATTGCAATAACCAATTCATGTCCAATATGCTATGAATGCCAAATGGACTAATTTAAACTCCTAACAACATATTTCATGGTAAATTATATCCTAAGCATATAATTTCCATAAATCATCACTATGCCAATATATCATAAAGCATATATTAAAATCACACCGAACAACGAATTCCAAGCATGTTATCACATTATATATGCAATTAAAACACCCCTAATTTCATCTTGACATTTAATCAAACACTTTCAAAGCACCCAATCATATAATCACATACATGCCCAATTTTCATCACATAACATTAGATAATTTCTACATACCTAATTTAAGATAGAATTTATTCTACCCATTTTAGATACCCAAATCATCAAATTCTCAACAATAGGTAAGTGCTAAAGATGTTTAACAGCCTACCCATTCCACATCACATTTCTAGGTTGAAAATAAACCTAATTAGGATGAAAATCCTACCTCTTGAAGTGTAAAATGAGTTGTAGAACCTTCAAGAACACCACTCAATCTCAATCTTGAATTTTCCTCAAAATTCCGTCTTGAAAACTTTGGTGCAATCTGTCCTTTTTGGTAGGGATGCGTAGCCCTCGTCGAGGAGAACAACTTTAATACTTGGCTCGAGTTGATTTGAGCAACGAGGTGTAGATCGTAGAGAGAAGGTTGAATTTCTCACTTTTTCCCTCTCTTCCTCTCCAACGTTGAAGACCAGCTGAACAATGGGGAGAAATTAGATTTTCTCCCCCTATTTATACTCCCTAAACTCTTGGTCCACAACGCGCCACACAGTCCTCTTCTTCCCGGGTCTGTTTTTGCCCTGAAATATTAAATTTCACCCCAATTTAAGTTTAAAATATTTTATTTCAACTTGCTTTAAATTATTTTTCAAATTTTGAATTTTTATTAAAAATTTTGTTTTTGGGTCAACTGTGACCTAACCACCACGTAAAACATGAAAAATTTTGACTATCTTAGAATTCGATAAAAATTGACGAGATAGCGAGATTTGCAAGACAAATCCAACGGTGAAGTCCAATTTTTCATCCGAGCTCTAGAAAAATTCATGTTTACAACCCATACTGTAGCGGCAAATTACCGTTTTGTCCATTTTGGTAAAAATTTCAAATTTACTCGGGTTTTATATTCTTTCCCCTTAAAAGAATTTTGTTCCTGAAATTCACACACACACGTGCACATTCAACCACATGCATATGCAACAATCATATAATACTAAATGACTATAAGAATTTACCTCCATCCTCGAATAAGAAAGGATAACTGGTACGTATAGGGTCCTCACGCTCCCATGTCGCCTCCTCCATACCTCAATGCTGCCACATCACCTTCACTAGCCTCACAAAACTTGCTCCAGACTATCCATGATATGAACCGGTCCTTTCTCAATGGTCCCATTCACATCAACAATCAACCCGCCCCAATCCACCATATGTGTTGGATCTAGAGTATGCTTCCAGAGTATAAAGACATGGAACACCATGTGAACACCCAATAAATTTGACCACAATGCCAACCGATAAGCGACTGTACCAACCCTCTCGAGTACCTTGAAAGGCCCAATAAACCTCGAAAATAGCTTGCCCTGCTTTTCGAACCTAACCATTATTTCCATATGGCTGATTATTCCTCCTCTGAACTTGCTCACCTCGAAAATCCTTTAATTTCATCTCTTTCTCTATTATATATGCCACTTCTATTATCTTACTAAAATTCTTTATCCTTAAAGGTGCAATTCTCTCCCTAATTATACTATTCAATCCAAGAGTAAAACGTTTTTCCTTCTTAACATCATTAGCTACATATTCACCAGCATGGTGTGCTAATTCTTCAAATCGTGCCTCATATTGTGCTACACTCATCCCACCTTGTTACAAATTTAAGAAATCCAATAATAAAGCATCCCTAACACTTTCAGTCAAATACTTACCATTAAAATTTGTCTCAAATCTTTCCCACACCATACCTTCTACTAGTTCTCTTCCTTTAATAAGATCCCACCAATGATCAGCTTCTCCTACAAACAAATACGTAGCTAATCCCACTCTATATCGTGGTGCAATACCCATAGCATACATCACCTTTTTAACTTGTCGTAACCACTTCTCAGCTTGTAAAAGTTTAGTAGTTCCATGGAATGATGGTGGACGTTACTTGAGAAATTCCTTCAGAATCATCATTGACCTATAATCAAGTTCTTCCCGATCATTTTATTCTCGCTCCCTTTCATTCCCTCAAATTATATTAGGTACTGGAGGAATCTCTACATTCCTCACTCCTTGGACCTGTTCTGACTGCATAAGTGTATTTTCTGGGTTTCTAGTTAATCCTGGTATCTGAGTCTGGATTAGTGTAGTAAGTGTAGCCAGACATTGATATAATTGTTGTAACCCTCCAAGTCTCGGTTCAGCAATATTCTCATTTTGTCGTTCTGGGTATTCATCCTCAGTGGATTTATCCTCCTGTTTTCCATTTCCTCCCCGTTTGTTCACCATTTCCTAACCAAATCACCAAACATAAGTGATTAGTTTCTTTACTTGAAGAAAAATCATCTTAAATTTCCCAACTAGAAATTAACCATAAGATATACTCCAAAGAAAATTTATTTGAGCCTAAAATTCTCATTTACAACTTAATAACTTATTATATTTACTAGCCATTATTTATCATACAGTCGCATATAATCACATAAATGCACATACTTTAATACACATTTATTCATAGTTTAGAGTACTATCACATTCCATTCTATCCACACTAAACTTCACACCCTCCTAATCTTCCACATTAGTAATAGTAGAAGTATCAAAATCTACTTCCGATTTCCATGTTGGTACCTTTGGTTCTGCCTCCAACCATCCATTTTGATTGTTTGGAACCTGTGGTATCCTTCCATTTCTTTCTAGGTTTCTAGCCCTCTGAACCACTTCAAGCTGTGCATTTAGCCTATTTTGCACAGGAGCTTGCTTCTGTTCAGGTCCAAGTTTCCTCCAATTACGAGTTACATCACGTGTCTCTTCTATAGCTAAATGTAGTGCCTCTGCATAGATTTGGATCCGACATCTCCTTTCTATTTCATGGTGTTCCAATATATCCTGAAGCATAAACAATTCATTCCAATGTACCATAACTGAAATTGTAATTGCCAATCATCAATATAAACATCAATAATCATTCTATAAAAACAACTTATCAAATACTTTAAACATAGCCACCCATTTTCACATCTAAACTTTTAGTAAAACAACTTATTACTGTTTCATATTCAGAGTCAAAAGATAACAGGGTGACAAATAAAGTTAGATTCACACACACAACCAAAATAATCTGACATCCAAGTAATACAAGTAGTATTCTTCTTTTTCTTATACTGCTACCTCATATGTTGTTAGTTTAGTTACACCCTACACACTATATACATAATTTAGTTCTTGGTTTCACATTCCTACAGTTAATCATCTTCCCCACTATCTGAGACGTGCAATAGATTTTTTCCTATCGTTACCTGGTGCGTTCATCTCACCCGATTCCCATGAATTTACTAAGAATGTCTCATTTCTCTCAGTATTCTATTGTCCAACTCCCCCAATTCAGATGGGAGGCCAACACCCTGCCCATTGCACAACCATTTCTTCTAATGACACTCGATAACAGTTCTTGTTTCTAACTATACTTATCGCTCTCTTTGCAATCCTTAACATCCTGGTCATTCGATTTTGCACAAAAAGCTTTTGCTCTCTCAGAGTAAGGAAAAGCCAAGTCCCAGCGACCTCCAGAATTAAGCACCTTTATTGCTTCTCTGTTGATCATTTTGTCGTATGTTTCCACCATGGAACCATATCCCCATTCCTGATTATCTATGTGGAGATCGTCCCAAATTGACATATTTCGTATATAACCACACATTAATTAACAACTAATCTTTACATAAATGTAATAGTGACCCATATAAGATCATGACCATGCTCTGATACCAACTTTGTCACACCCCGAATTAGCTCAGCATGTGACATGTGTTACTTTAATCCATGGAACGCTATAATACTAAGTTATCACAGAGCATAGCATAATAACCCACAATTTACAAACCACATATTATTGTATAAACATATACAAAAACTTTTAACCTAACATACTTCAAACTATTACAACCTATTATTCAATTAAGTATACATTACACATTAGGTTTTCTGTTATTATATTACAAACTTTGGATACAACTTCCTAAGATATACAAAAACCTTGGTAGGTTATTATGTACACATCTCCCAACTTTCTCACATCTTAAAAAGGGAAAGTAACGTAGGGTGAGCATCAACAGCTCAATAGAGTAACTCAATTTTCAAGCAAACGAGTTTGAAAATAGTATAGTTTAGCATGATTGGGAAAAGATCCAAATGACCATTTGATACATATATGATAGCAAAAAAAAAATATCATTTCATGTGAAACTGTAACAGTTAAATAAAACTGTAAAAGAGAGTTCAGAAATTCAAGTAAAGTGCTATACTGGTGGGCAATTCATCCTAATACACCACTAAGGGTCCATATGAACATACGATCCAACCTTTGGAGGGACTTCCACCCAGAGAAAGATACGCTCCCTAGTCAATGTTCAGTACCCAAGTCCGAAGACCAACAGGGCCACCCAGGCATTTACAAACTCAATGAGTACCCTCTACGGCCTCAAACTTTGATGTGAACCCTTTTGCTACTCGACCCTTGTGCACTTATATTTCCATAAAAAGGATTCCGAAGTTTCATTCAATATGAACAATTCAAGCAATACTATCATTTCCAAAACATTAGTGCAACCCGCACTCAGAAACCCTACATCCGGGTCTTGATCCAAGTAAATATTCAAAACACCCAATCAGATATTTCAAAATATGCTAAATCATCATAAATAAATTATGGAATAATTTAGAAACAAGTTGGAAAAGCATCGCCTGTTCTGGAATTGAGAAACCCTACCCGCTCGGTGTTTTGATCTGAAATAACCAAAAATTAAACAATGTTATTTTTTGATAAAATTTAATAACACATACTCAATTAACCTACCTAAGAATTAATATAGAATTTATTTTCTCAAAATACACAAAAACTAGGTCAATTTGACCCCGGAGGGTAAAACAGTCATTTTACTCCTCATTTTGGCCCAGTCGTCGGATTGACTTGAAATTTTACCGGGACCTCCGCATGAATGTTACAGAGCTTTTAGAACAAACCAGAGGCCGACCAAAGTTCAGACGAAGCCAAAATAGCCATCGGAGTCCACTGCCCACTTTATGTTCAACCTTGGTTTTTTTTTTTTTTTTTGACTTTTGCCCTAAATGCAGAAATTTCTGCTCAACCACCCTACTTTGACCACCTGGTTCACCCACTAAAGTACACCATAACCTTTGTTTTTAACATCCACATACTTGTTGGATAAACTAGTATCAATCCCTCTTAGACTCAACCTTTGAATTGAATTCTAACATCATCAAATTATTGGTCAAAGTTGGCCAAAAACCATTTTTTAAACACAAGGGCAGACCTGAAATTGTTCATTTCACCCCCAAAAGATCTATTAATCTAATTCTGAAGTTGGAAATGGATTCCTTGACCCCAAATTAGCTAGACCCAAGCCCCCTTTTGAAGTTTAAACAAGTTTTGATCAAAATTATATTTTCACTTCTTCAAAATCCTCACACCACCACTAAACAACTCCTCAAGACCCCCCAAACTCATCCATACCAAACAATTAACCCAAATCAATCTCAAATCTCAAACCCGTTTCAAAATCCAAAAACCCATTAAACTTTTAAACACAAATTCATGCATTAATACCAAACCAAATCAAAATCTAAATACATAATTGAGTTCCTAACATCTATATTAGGCTGTGAATATACCTCTTAGTGCTCGAAGTAGTCTTTGCAAGAAATCCAAAAATTCAAAGTATATACTTTCTCTCACTAACTTCTCTTTCTCCTCTCTCTCTTCTCACCAAATCCTTCTCCATTTTATTCCCCCCAAGCAGCTCACTCAACTCTTCTGAAGCAGCTAGGTGTCCTCCATGCAACCATAGCAAGCCTCCATCAACTACCTTGCATTGTGTAGAAGAGTCTTGAATACTTCAATGGCAGTTTAATAATTTTTCTATTTTGTCTAATTTCAAAATTAATTAAAAAATAATTATATATATATTAAATCAAGCACTATAAAGTTATTGGTTAAAATTATGGACATTGATTTGAGCTCCTAACCTTACACATCCAACTATTTTAATTATCGAAACTCAGTTATTATAGTCAATTAGAGAGGACTATCCAAAATTTAGAGGACATGATTTGGGCATGCATCCTTGACCTCAAGCATAGCTAGGAGGATTACTTATTCTTGATGGAGTTTGCCTATAACAATAGTTATTAGGAAACTATTCAGATGGCACGCAATGAGACATTGTATGGGAGGTCATGCTATTCTCCAAAATGTTGGATGGAGGTTAGAGAGGGACCTTCCATGTGTCCAAATTTAATCTAGGACACCTCAAAGAAGATGGATATTATATGAAAGCCTCTTCTACCAGCTCTACGCTTTCAAAATACAAAGATTTTTTGAGTTTGAGGTGACTGTTCATGTCTTCTTGAAGGTTATGCCTAAGAGTGGGGCTGTCAAATTTGGCAAAAGGGGTAAGTTATTGCCAAGGTACATTGGGCCCTTCGACGTACTTGAGAGGTTCAGGAAAATTGCTTACCAGTTGGTGTTATGGCCACATCTTTCAGGAGTACACAATGTGTTTCATGTCTTCATACTTCAGAAATACCTCAAATCCTACACATATGGTGGATTGGGGGGAGCTTATTGTTGATGTAGATGGGGCCTTCTAGGAGAGACTAGTTTTGTACTATCAATAACTGAGAACATGTTTTACATGGCAAAATTGTAAAGCTGGTGAACACCGGGGTGTTAAGGAGGCACATAGGAGTGGGAGGACACGATTCGGTCTACCTATCCGTTCTTGTTTGAGGATAGAGGTATAATTTAAAATTTAAATGTGCTTCTTGTGCATTACATTATTTGTTGCATGTTTTAGGTTGTTATGTATGAGTTGTGTAATTTCTAGGATGAAATACCCTTAAAAGGGGGAGAATGTAAAACTCAAAAAAATTAAAAATCCTAATTAAAGGGGTCAAACAATAATTAGACTGTTTAAGCATGCGGTTAAAGAATCAAATTTTCATATAACTTGGATAATGAAATGTACCTTAATACATTGGATTCCTCTCACAAAATTAAGTTAGGCAGTCAATTTTTGTTGATTTCTAAGACGATCAAATTTTTACGCATTACGAGGCAAACCGAGGTAATGCAATTTAAATTCTAGCAGCTAAGATTTATTCACTGGACCCATAATATAATTAAAAGGTCATTTATCTAATTTTATCCTCTACGACACATGTCACATAGTAATTGGCTCTCTAAGATTTCCACCTAATGGAAAAGTGACACG